TACTTATGCCAGCAGTTATGGCCACTTGCAAGTAGGCCTCGGCGGGTAATGCTAGCATTGTAACTGGCATTACGAGCATCGTTTTGAGAACTAGCAATGCTCCAGCATTGTACCCGGATTTGGAGCCAAAACAAGCATTAGCGCCCAAAAGTGTCATTTTCTCACTTCATGAGTGTGCATTACTGAATAAAACAGGAGCTCTACAATGTAACGTACACACTGTACTTTGTACCAGCGGCTTTTGGCAGTTTTGCTTAAACGTTAGCCTGCGACTTCGCAACATGCGTCTCTTGTTGCGAATCTTAGTGGCAGCTGCTAGGTATAGACGTACCACGTTGATGCCATCATGCTAAAAGGAAAGAAACCCTGTCTTTCCTATTCACAGAATCATGCAGTGCTGGCTTGCTTGCACCATGAGTACATCAAATGGAAATGTGTTGGAAGTCTCTGATTCTTCGGAGGAAGAGAGTGAGGAAGATGAGTACGAGACAGAGGAGGATAATAAGGAAGACGAGAACGAGGCAGAGGTGGAGAATGAGCCCGGTGAGGCATGCGCACGACTGCCCAAAGCCAAAGGAGCAAGCATATCGAGGGTTAGTAACATTCCTACTATTGTGACAGTGTGTTCACTGGGTGCCAGTATTAAGCCCCATTGTGTTGCTAATGGATTGCTGCAATGAATCACCAAGTCTTGGTGTCTGGACTGATTACCTATACTCATGCACTAGTTGCCCACTGTGCTGATTGACTCATTCCACGAAGTGATACGTTGACTTATATTGTACTTTTTCATACCACACAATGTACTAAATTTCCAAAATAGCATTCCGTATGCACCCTCAAAATACTTTGAAGACTGTCGACGTAGGGTTCTGATTTACTGTTATTTACTGCTAGTTCATGATAGCAACTTCAGTTCCACATCATTTTGAAATAGCATCACCACATATAATCTACTTTCAAAGTACTAGGTACTTCCAATAGCAGTATTCCGTGCAGTGTGACTTACATTATGACACAATGCCATATGAGTGGTTCACATTGCCTTTTTAACTAGCATTACAAGTCCAAATTAGAATTCTAACGAGCATTATATGACCGAATAACTAGCAAAGCTAAAAGCATTTTGAGCTGAAATAACTAGCATTACCCGCCGATGCCTACTTGCAAGTACGAAAAAGGCAAAAATATCCGAATTTTGAGGCTCCATAAGTAGCCCTTTCCCAAAGGTGCTTTTTTAATTCGCACTTACAATTTCTTTTTTTGTAGTGCTTTTCGCGTCCCTCAAAATAAAATTATGCTGAAAAAGTGCTCTTTTTTCAGTAAAAACAGGCAAAAAGTGCTCTTTTTTCAGTGAAGCATAGCCATGATACATGTTCAGATATGAACCCATGCTGAGAAAGGAATATGCACTCTTCCATTTATGGGTCTACGAAAGGCAAAACAGGAAGCAAAGTTCAAAAAACGCTTTTTACAGCATTGTGTACAAGTTTCACCAAGTTGTTGCCCCCCCCCAAAAAAGCGGCCAAGGTCCATCGAGCACTCGGAACCTGTGATCGCATGCATGATCAATTTTTTTAGCACTTTTCAGCTAAAAAGCTTTAAAAGGGCGATATTCACCAAAAAGGGCGAAAAAGGAGGAGCACCTTTGGGAATGGGCTATCCATAAGTACATTAATTAAAGTGAAAAGCGTTATGTATCCTCGCGTGTCAAAGCATAAAATATAATTATCTCTCTGTCTCTCTGTCTCTCTGTCTCTCTTTCTCTCTCTGTCTCTCTGTCCCTCTGTCTCTCTGTCTCTCTGTCTCTCCGTGTCTCTGTCTCTCTGTCTCCCCTCTCTCTCTGTCTCTGTCTCTGTCCCTGTCCCTGTCCCTCTCTTTCTCGCTCTCTCTCTCTCTCTCTCTCTCTCTCTCTCTCTCTCTCTCTTTCTCTCTCTCTCTCTCTCTCTCTCTCTCTCTCTCTCTCTCTCTCTCTCTCTCTCTCTCTCTCTC